TATTTGGGATTGCCCCGACCCAGGTCACCTACCTGATTTGAAGTAAGAGGCACAAAAGCTGTATTGGTGAATAGCGAATAGAGTTACATAGGATTTGAATAAGGAATCTGGTGGGCTGAGGCCAGTAGATGAGAGGCTTCCTAATAATGCACTGAAAGGAAGATGACTTCCATACCTCTGCTTCTGTGCTGATGAAGTGAGATTATATTCTACTTGATATTGTGAAGGAAAAAATGTCTATTCTTCTTTGATCTTGCTTAGAGACTTTCTTTTCCATTTAAGGTGAAAGTGTTCCTGTCACAAAGATTAATCTACCCAACCCTTCAGAATATCCGAAAGCAATGGGAGATGAAATATACAGCCCAGAGGTGCATAAACGGCATACGTTGTTCTGTGGAACCAACGTAATTCAAACCCGTTTTTATACCGGAGAATTGGTCAAAGCTCTGGTAGTGAGAACAGGTATGGATTGTTAGGTTTGTCACTTGTTAACATGCTGCTCGCTGTTGTAGGTATATGTCAACTGCCACTTTGGAGTATTGTGTTGAATGTTGCTAAGCTTGGATAAATGAACATACCCCAAATAACTTGATAAATGTCTTACAACCGTAATAGAAGCGAACAATGGCCTGGAGAGTATCAGTTGGCAAGCAAGACAGTGAATCAGTCTCTAGCATCAAATGAAAACCTACCTGAATGCATTTTCAGGTCCCTGAGGTGTCTTTTAGGGCGTTGGCTGAAATGCATGTGCTTCTGAAAAGGTTTGGCATTATGTGGGTAGTGAGGAACAGCTTGCTTTGGTGGACTCCTTGGCACTGTCAGCTTTCTTTGCCACAGTTTTGTCAAAGCACATAACATCTGCTTTAAAAAAATGTTTGATCTGGCCTTTTCTTACAGAAGTGCTTATTCATGCTAATGTCTTAAAGGCTTGATTTTAGATAATACAGATGTTCTATTAAAAACAATTGCACAGACTAATGTGGTTGTGGGATTCTGCTTTACAAAGATGATATTAAGAAAACCACCACAAAATAGATGAACATAAGCTTTAATCAAGCTACGGTAGAATTGGACAGAATGAATGTGTCTACGTTGACTGGAATACTGCTTAAAGCAAGTTCTCCAGCAAGTAACTTCATCCTAATTAGCCTCTTCTTTCTCTGGTGTCTACTCTTCACCTTCTGTTAGTATGTCTTAGCAGTTAATGTTCTGATTTTTATTTAAATTAAATTAATTAGTGTCTTTCTAGAGGCTTTTATTAGTCTTTTTTTCCAAAGTAAAATATTTCCCTTCCTTTGAACACATCTCCCCTTTAATAATGTCCATCTCAGCTTCTTTTGTTTCTTAAATAAGAAGTTTTATGTGCCAAACCTGGTGTGTATATGCAGATAGGTTGTCCAAAACAGCAGCAGAAATGAACTGCTGAAGACTTATTAATTGTACTCTGTGGGAATGCTTTTTTATTTCAGTCTGGAACTCTTAGAAGGAGAACTGTAATTGCTTCCAACACAGTGAGTCTTACTGCCCTGACAGCTGAAGTTGTTTTGTAATGTTCTCTTTGCCCCTGGCAGGTCAGGGTTAGCTCCTGTGTTGCGAGTAGGATGAATTGAGCTCTGTGGAACTTGTTCAGATTTTATGTATGGACAAGTGCGCTTCTCCTGCTGTGACTGTAGATGGAGAGAGGAGTAAAGGGGTTAAAATCCTTCCTGTTCTCCTGCCTGGTTTACAGGGACAGACTGTTTTCAGGCAAGTAGGGAATTCCCCGTTCCACAGAAGTGGGATAGATGTCACAGTGCTTGTAGTTTCTTGCTCCTAAGATGTCTGATAGTAAGAACTGAGGTAGTTCTAACCTAGAGAGATGCAAGTAAAATCCCTTTATCTGAGGAACATGGGTTGCCACAAAATTGAAGATGCTAGAAAATTTAGTCCTTGGAAGAGGAGAACTCCATATAGTTGTGTGCAAAGACACGCAGTTTTCATCTTGTCGTAAATCAGGATGTAATCTGATGTGCTGGGACTGAACTCTCAGCACTCTTCAGACTTAAGCCTTAAACGTGAAATGTTGGTGTTAGATACACATAAAACACCAATGAACTAAACCTACTCTTTGTTTTCGCTGTTGAAGCTCAGTTCATTGATAGATTAATGTATATGTCATTGTGGCTCCTATCGTGGTTGTAACAAACCAAAAATTGGTAACTTGTTTTAGGGAACAGAAATGTTCACTAAAGCTATCCGCATGTCCAGCGTGTTCTCAGGACACCACATAAGGCTTTCATTTATGGTTTTACCCTGGTGTGTTCTAGCCTGTGTGGCTACAGAACCTTCTGCAAAGCCATTAAAAAAATCGAAAGTAGTTCTGACTCTTTTTTTTGATTGCTGTGTCGAATTACAAAGCGTTATTGACTCAGTACTCAAGTACATACTGACATGCTGAGCTGCTCTGAACAGGCCCACGGTTTGTAGTCCGCAGTAGTGAATTCAAAGCCTGGAGGCTTCATGCCTTGTTCGTTGTGTGATGAACTCACCCTCTTTAAGACTGATGCAGTAACTGCTTCGTTCTGGTAGAATCCTGCATGCCACGTCTCCCAGCGTGGAGGGCTTAGCCTTTGCTGGGAGGGCTTACAGGCTGAGGAGCTGCCACTAACGCCAGCGGACCTATTGAGGTTATAGGAATACACTTTGAAGTCTAAACAGATTCAAAATGTTTGAGGCTTACAAAATTGGGCACTGGTGTTGGCCTCTCCACATACTGAGGCAAAGGTTCACGGAAAATCTAAGGCTGGCTGGTTGTCTGACTTTAAGACCCATAAAGACCAGTCTCCTAGCTCAGGTGTCAGTCAAGGGGTGGGCTCTCCAGAAAATGAGACTCTGCACTGCGTTTATTTTTTCCTGAATCTATCCTTCTGGCCGTTAATTGAGCTTACACAGACTTGCCATTAAAGTATTTAAAGTTGGACTCTGAATAACTTCATTTTTGCAAGGACTGGCACAATTAAACAACCCAAAAATATACCCGCTGGCTCTGCACTGTGAGGGCCAAAACGCAGCACAGCAAATCCCTCCGGTTGCCTCAGCTGCGTGTCCTTGCCGTGGGAGTCAAGCACTGGGTATGATGTGCACATGTGTTGTTGAAGCACCTTAATTACAGTACTGCAAAATGCCTACTGCGTATTGAGAAACAGCCTTAATGAAATTAGTAGCTTAAGGGTTTCATTGAGGGTTTTAATAATTTGAATAACTTTGCTCTTGTTTATACTTTAAATACCTTACTCCTTTTTATTTCTAGGCTTTAGTACTGCCAAAGGACAGCTTGTTCGTTCCATACTATATCCAAAGCCAACTGATTTTAAACTCTACAGAGATGCCTATTTGTTTCTCCTGTCTCTGGTAGTGGTGGCAGGCATTGGGTTTCTTTACACAGTTGTCAACAGCATCTTGAATGAGGTACGTTTTAATTTCTTGTCCAGAACCTTATTTTAATGGTGGATTTATCATGATTCCCAGCACACTTCAAATGATGGAAAACAATTTGATTTTAGTTGAAAACTTTTTTGCTTTATTTTGTATAGGTGAAACTCAAAAGACAAGCTTACTGAGAACAAAATCCACCAGAGAAGCACAATTTGAATATGTTACAGTGAAATTTGAGTTAACCTCAGTTTCCACTGACCCAGTTGCTAGACTTTTATCTTTACTGAATGCAGGATTACCATCTGACTGATGCCCAGTTGTAAGAAATAGGATACAGCACATCTAAAGCATGATGCAGGCAAAAAAATCCTTACCAAGAAATTGATAACTGATAACTCGATAACACTAATTATTTTTTTATCTCAGTCATTGTTTTAAAGAACGATATTTGCAGGGGGAAAGTGAAAACTTGAAGTTCTGGGTTGTGGACAATTTAGGACTGGATTATGATGGTTGCTGATGATGGGTGAAGGTTGCGCTAGGTTTTTGGGCAATCCAGAACATGCTGTACTGGGGAAAGCAATGAGCAGATGTTGGGTTTGGTAGCAGTGATGCAATGCTTCTGTGGGATAATGAATCTTTAAGTAGCCAGTTGTTGGTGGTTAACTCTGACCTTTATTGCAGGTTCCAGCTCATACCATCATCATTGAGTCTCTTGACATCATCACTATCACGGTGCCTCCGGCGCTGCCTGCTGCCATGACTGCTGGTATCGTTTATGCACAAAGAAGGTTGAAAAAAATTGGCATCTTCTGCATCAGCCCGCAAAGGATAAATATTTGTGGCCAGCTGAATCTTGTGTGTTTCGATAAGGTTAGATGAATTTTGAAACTTTGTGTTGCCACCCGAAGAGGCGTTGTATTATAAATGGCAATTTGTATCATTTTGGTCCTCTTAGCTTCCAGGTATTCAGTGTTCACCAACTGTTAACTCACTTTAATTAGCCGGCTCTAAAAAACTGTTAGAATACAGAGCTGCTTTTTTATCTCAAGACTTCCAAGTCCTGACTTACTACTGGCACTTCCCATTTTCATTTATTTCAATAAACCATCATATTTAGTTATTATTCCTTAACAGAAACATGAGTGAAGGGCAGTAATGCCACTAGCCAGAATCCTTTACTATTAGCTAATTCTTAGATAAAATTAATTTTCTTCCTTAGATGTTTTTCTAACATATTAAGTACCCGATCTAAATTTATTATTTCCATTTTAAGTATATTCTAGTTACTGTTTTAGCTATGTAAGAAAGCAGTGCTAAGTGTTTATTACCCCTGAATACAGAGATACTGAGCTATCATTAGATTTTAAGGGTTTGTCCTGCCTTTAAGGTGGGGTGTGGTTGCTTTGAATAGGGTTTTTGAAGTTAATTAGGTTAATTAGAATTTAGGTACTAGCAAAAAGTGAGGGAGATACTGCATTTCCTGTCCTGAAGTCTTGATTTTTGAGTGAAAACAATATAAAATATATTGTTCAGGTGTAATTTGATTGATTAGCTGTTAATTTTTGCTTTACTGGAAGATAACTTGTTTCTGAAGTCTTTTTCTTCTTGCCATGCCCCTTGGTTTATTTGGCAGACTGGCACACTTACTGAGGATGGCTTGGATCTTTGGGGAATTCAACGGGTGGAAAATGCTCGGTAAGGTTAAGCTTAGAGCTGATAGCAAATATGGTATTTAGTTGTGCTTTAACAGCTTCAGCAGAATAGAACAGAAGATTCAATGTGAGCTCTTCCCTTTGCATTTCTGTAATAAGCTGTAAGAATCCAACTGAATATATGGTTTAGGTGTAATGAAAGTTGTAACTCTTATGAGGCTGAGGTGAAATTTAATTTGTTAAAGTCTGAGATCTCATTGGGTTCGTACTGCAGAAATTATGCAGGTAAAGTATAGCATGTTTCCTTAATCCTGTCACACTAAGTGGTGACTTTTTGACTGCTAAAGTGAATCATCTTAGGCAGACAACAGAGTTTAAGTACAAAGTGGTGAGGCCTCTGTACGCAGAATCAAACTAGACGTGAATTAACAGAAGGAGGCAGAAGTTGTGACTGTTTCTGAAGATTCCAGCCTCAAGAGTCTCTGTCTGTTTTCTGTGATGTGTGAAGAGACTTGTGCAGTCAATTTTTTCCTGTTAATCTAAACAAACCTTTTGAATTGGCTCATTATAAATAATTACAGTGCTAAGTATATTATAACTTCATTGTTTTAGTTTCCTTTTGCCGGAAGAGAGGGCTTGCAGTGAGAGCTTGCTGAAGTCCGAGTTCGTTGCTTGCATGGCAACCTGTCATTCCCTTACGAAAATTGAAGGGGTACTTTCTGGGGATCCGCTTGATTTGAAGATGTTTGAAGCAATAGGATGGGTAAGTGTCTGCCTTGATAAATAACCTGAAATTTCCCATGCTGTTATATATAAGATAATCCATTATATGCTATTTCAAGCTGTAACTGTAAAACGGTGGGCTTTTGGCAATGCCCCTGTGTCAAAGGAAGTTATGATCCTAAAATGTGTTCTGTATAACAGTTCATAGAACTGAAAGAATCTGAAGAGCTAACTTACGGTGTTGTGTGGGGCAGGGTTTCAATGCTTATAATAAACATGTAAAATAGATAAGTGGATCTTGAGTTAGCTGCTAAATTAAGACAATTCTCACAGGAAATCATGTTCAGAAAGATCATTGCACCTTGGGCTGAGTTCCAAGAGTGGTTTTTTTTCTGAAAATTACATTATGAGAAAATAAAATTTAATGAATATATAAATTAGTTGATTATTTTTCATACAGATTTTAGAAGAAGCAACTGAAGAGGAAACAGCCCTTCACAATCGAATCATGCCAACAGTGGTTCGGCCTTCAAAACAGCTTTTCCCAGAATCTAAGCAAGCAACAAACCAAGAAATGGTATAAAAATTCAAAGCAGTTCTTTGAGTTAAAGTAATCCTTCATGTTAAACAAATAGATTCTACTGTATGCTGTGGTACAGGCTGATGTAGTTCAAACAGGAGCAAAACTGTGGTTTTTGATGTCAAAATAGAGAAGACGTGTTTAAACTGTTTTTAAAGGCAGTGGTTCAGTATATGCCACTTCAAGGTGAGCAAGCTGACTGCCAGGATTATTACCCTCACAGACTGGTTATAAAGTGCTGGAATGCTTTTTGAGCCTATGCATTGTAGTATTAGTATCATTAACAAATTCTTACTGTGCTAATGAAGTGCTTAGGTGTGCTCACCTTGCAGTTTCAATTAAAACGATTGCTAATGTCACTGCACAGTACACAATTCTTGCCACCATTGTACCTTTGAGGGGTATGTTTTAATTAAGTGCAGAGTTAAAAATAAAACGTACTTGGCAGATTTTAAATTTTCTTCTGTCTGCGCTTTGAAGTGTTTTTCTAAACAAGAAGGGGAACTGAAGCATGTGACTGTCTGCCCAGATTATCACAGAGCAGGGTGGCGGGAGGGGGTAGCAGGTTGGTTCTGTGCGGGTGTTAATTCTGCAGTGGCTAGAAACGTCATTTTTTTGGTTGAGAACTGGGAGTGCACGTGCAGCAGTAATTACTGTGCAGCACTTGACGCATGAGCAGTCTTGAGACTTATTACGTGACTTGTTTTGGGGATCTGCTTAATAATAATGGCCTCACTCTGAAATACCATAGTCCTTGAATCACTCACGTAGGCTAAACGGACACAGGTTTGACTGTGAAAGGTCTTACAAATTCCAGTCAAGAAACCAAGCTCTGTAGTTCTGCCGTGCCTCAGTAAGTAAAGGATACTAAGCAGCTGCAGGGTATTCACTTCCCCTTTATGAACTCCATTACAAATATAATGTGACTCTTTATTGAGAACGCTGTGTGGATTTATTTACTGATTTATGTTGAAACAGTTTGTAGCTGGAAAAAATACTTTAAAAAATTTCGAGTAAATATATTTTTTTCTTCTTTTTTAGGAATTGTTTGAGCTTTCGGTAAGTATGCTTTCTTAATGAAGCATGTACCTCTCTTTCAGAATGTCTGTAGATGTAACCCTTTTCTTCCTTCCTTCCTGTGTGACCCAGACAAGTTATGAGATTGGAATTGTGCGCCAGTTTCCATTTTCTTCAGTTTTGCAACGCATGTGTGTAATAGCGAGAGTTCTAGGGGAGAAGAGGATGGATGCTTACATGAAAGGTGCCCCTGAAGTGATTGCCAGCTTGTGTAAGCAGGAAACAGGTAAAGGAACAAACTGTTTTTGTTTCTTGCGTAGCTCAGCTGGAATATGAGTAATTATAACTCTAAAATTTTTACAGTTCCTGTTGACTTTGACTGTGTCCTGGAAGAATACACTAAGCAGGGCTTCCGAGTTATTGCTCTTGCTCACAGAAAATTGGAGTCTAAGCTTACATGGCACAAAGTCCAGACTATTAATAGGTAAGTGTGACTTCACTTTTGTATTAAGTAACAGGCTTTAAAAGCTGCATGCTTTGAATTAATCATGTAATGTTTATTTTTGTTTAAGTCAATTACTACTTTTCTTTAGCTTTCTTCTGTCTTGAGATAAATAGTTCTGTGCATTCTTATTTGTACCCTGGACAATACATACAGATTTAAGATGAGGAATGTTTAATTTATGCTAACATGGCAGAAAGTCCTCATCTGATTTCTTTGTTACTCAAACACACGTATCTATTAAAGGTAATGGCATGTAGTGGAAACCCTCCTGTGCATGTTTGATTGGGTTTCTTCATCTGCTGTAGGCAGCGTGGCTGCTTACTCACCAAAAAGCTGGTCAGAAAGGTCTGGAAGGTAGAAACGTTTCTTCGTTCAAAGGGCAGTATTTCCTCTTAATTACTCTTCAGCTGGTCCCTGTTTTGTGGATAATGCTGATAAACATTATCCACACTAATAAAATGAAACACTAATTTCCATAGTGTTTCAAAGTGTAGCATCGCTCTGAAATGGCCAGTTCTGATTTTGCAAAGCAGTACAAGGCAGAGAAATGTTTTTTTCAGTTCCAGGTGTGAAAATCTACAGTAGCAGCAAAACACTCAACAACTGTAAATACACTGACTTTCATGTAAACCCAAGTTAATTAGTTGCTTCACTTAATTAGCTAATTGTCTGTTAATCTTACTAGCCTAATATAATTTGGTAGCTTGTATGTGAAGGTTCAGCTAATTTAGAGATTAGAGATGCACATTCTAACAAATCTTAAAATATGACTGTGAATGCAGTTAGCTTCAGAGCATTTCTTTCTAGCAATAACCTTTCTTTTGGAGAACGCAGTTTTTTCTAGAAAGACTTCTCATGGAAGAAACTAAAAATAGTGCTTGAGAGGACATATTTTCTCATACTGCTTTTCAACTAAACCAAGGGAAATAAGAATAAATAATTGTTAATGATGTTATCCCCAGGTTGCTTTATATAAAGCAAATTCTTCATTTTTCATGGTCAAAAAATAAACATATCACTTTGATAAACAGAAAATCAGGCTCTTCAAGCTGCATCTAATAATTGTTATTCTTCCTTGCCTCCTTTTCTACAGAGATGCTATTGAAAGCAACATGGATTTTATGGGGTTAATTATAATGCAAAACAAGCTAAAGCAAGAAACCCCTGCTGTACTTGAAGATTTGCATAAAGCCAACATTCGCACTGTCATGGTTACAGGTCAGCGTGTGAACATTCATACTCAAAAGACAAAAATCCACCTTGTGGATGCCCCATCCCTGGAAGTGTTCGAGGCCAGGCTGGACGAGGCTTTGACCAACCTGGTCTAGTGGAAGGTGTCCCTGCCCATGGCAGCGGGGTTGGAACTGGATGGTCTTTAAGGTCCCTTCCAACCCAAACCATTCTGTGGTTATATGAAGTAAAACTTTAGTGTCAGTAGTCTGGGATTACACTGGATCTGTAGCAACAGGGAAGTTTACAAACTACTGTGAGAATATTCAGACACCGATGTTTCTTTTTGGGTGAAAGTTGCTTTACTAAGTCAGATATAGAAACCAGTATGGAGATTAATTCTACTTTGTAGCTTCCTTTCCCTAGCTCCACCCACAAGGTACTTTATACTAAATCAAAAACCTTGGAAGTGTCCCAGATCAGACTAGGTGAAAGCCCGGGTCTGATCTTATGGCTGACTCTGTTTTGAGCAGGAGGTTGGACTAGATGATTTCCCATTTTGATTTATATGATGATTAATCACTTTCTGTTGGACTTTTTTGGTAAGAATGATTCCTTATGTTCCCATAAGTGGGATAGGTATCTGTGCTCGGTGTTTTCCATGCAATAGGTGTGTGTGCTTTTTAAATTGCCGATACTGCAACTTTGGAGTAATGTTTTGATAGGATAGCAATACAACTCAGTGTTTGCCTGTTCTCTGACTCTGTTTAAAAGGTGGTATTTTAAATGGCCCCATGTTTTCCTGCCTCATTTTCAGTATATACTAAGACTTGCTCAATAAGAGATCTTTATGGCTGAAATAAGCATACAGAGTTAATAGGGATGGTAGTGCAGGGAAGGGTTTTAACGGGCTGGGCTTTGAATAATGGCTGTAGACTTGATTTACCCTGAGGTTGTTGCTGGTACGTTACGCAGTCCTCCTAGTTTAAAACTGCCTTTGTTAGCTTCTCTCTGATGTGGGATATCAGTATATTCCATTGACCCTTTTCTAACTAAACCCTTTCTAAATGCAATTGTTTAACAGGGGATAACATGTTAACTGCTATCTCGGTGGCCAGAGACTGTGGAATGATTCTACCTCAGGATAAGGTCATTATTGCTGAAGCACTACCTCCAAAGGATGGGCAGGCTGCCAGGATCAACTGGCATTATGCAGATACCCTCGCAAAATGCACTAGTTCATCACCAGCCATAAACTCAGAGGTAATAAGAGCATTATTGTTTGTAAGCAGTTAGTTTTACTGTAGAGTTTCTTTCTTTTTGTCTTACTCTGTTAAGCAGCAAATCTGCTTATAAGTGTCAAATGAAAACTGATGTACTAGATAACTTTCAGATTTTGAAATACCAAAGAGTAGTGAAACAGCTGGGGGCGGTAGTTTTTTAACTGTGATACAACATTTGACATTTTAGCTGTGCAGGAGACAAGGGGTTTTTCCACATCTCAGTTTAAGACTGCTCGAAACAGCTGGGGGCGGTAGTTGATACAACAACTGTGATACAACATTTGACATTTTAGCTGTGCAGGAGACAAGGGGTTTTTCCACATCTCAGTTTAAGACTGCTCTAACTGCTTGTAGTTGAAACAGTGAGCCACATGTTCATATTACTAAATAAATGGTTTCATTGTATGAGGTTTTCTATCGAGTAACACTGTTAGAAACCTCCTCTAGCGTGGGATCTCTTGGAATACCCCTCTGAGTATTAGCTTGAAATTCAAAAGTATTTGTGTAAATACACTGCAGCTAGATTATTAAACTACTTTTGATAGGATATTCCAGTTAAATTGGTCCATGAAAGCCTTGAGGATCTTCAGATGACCAAGTACCATTTTGCAATGAATGGGAAGTCATTTGCAGTGATTTTGGAGCATTTTCAGGACCTGGTACCCAAGGTGAGCATTTCACTGGAGTGTGGGCACTTTTGATGGTGAACAGGCTTTGCCCTGCGAGCATTAAGAAATCTTCTGTCTTCCAGCTTGTGTTACATGGCACTGTGTTTGCTCGCATGGCGCCTGATCAGAAAACCCAGCTGGTGGAAGCTTTACAAAATGTAGAGTAAGTATTTGCTTAAACATAGAAGGCGCGAGGGTTGAAAATGTGGTTGGTGTGGTAGGAAAAAAAAATTGTGTGCTGCTAGCTGTTTTGCCAAATGAAAAAGGCTGGGCTAATAAAACTTCCTTGAGTTGGCAAATCAGCTTGTTAGCTGGGCAGGAAGGAGAGTAGTACCATCTGCTGGTGAGTTGGGAAAGTTTCAGGCTTTTAATGAAGTTATAAATGATGAATAACTAAACTGACTAACGTATTTTATAAATCTGGTTGCTTGGCTTAAGAAATAAATCCATCAAGTGTCTCTGTGTATTAAAGAAGTATTGATGGGATGACTTAAGTTCACATCAGGATGCTGTTTGTTGGTGTCAGGCCCTGCAGCGGTACAAAATGCTACAAAAGTCTGCCTAGAGCAAAGATGCTTCAGGCCACCTTGGAGTGAGAGGGATGATAACCACAGTTGGTTTGACTGACATGGCTAAGTCATGTTACTTTTCTCTCCACTTCCTTACATGTATAATGGGAACAGTAATTGCTTTCAGCATTAACAGCCATTCATTGTTATGCACAACCTGAATCAAGTCCAATAACGTAGAAGTATTTAATGAAATAAGCTAAATGGACTGTGATTAGGGAATGGTTCAGAATGCTGACAATGGTTTGGATTTTCCAGTTACTACGTGGGCATGTGCGGAGATGGAGCAAATGACTGTGGCGTAAGTACATTCTTATTTTCCTTACAACTGTTCACCTAAATTTTACAGCCGAAAGCAAGATTTAAAATGTTCTCTATTTCAATGTTAACCGGCAGGCGCTAAAGAGGGCACATGGTGGTATATCTCTGTCTGAACTTGAGGCTTCTGTGGCATCACCATTCACTTCCAGGACACCTAGTATTTCCTGCGTGCCAAAGCTGATCAGGTAATGCCACTTACAGCGAGCTTGAATGCGTCTGTGTAACTTGTTTGGCGTACCCTCTGTTAGTATTAAGTTTCACACTGTGGGAGGCCAGTTTGAATTAAACCCAAGCTATATGTTTTCAGTAGTTTTATTTCTTTACCGAAGGAACTCTGAGCAAAAGCTTGACAGAGCATGATTTAGTATTGCTTTATAAACCCTTTTGTCCATGTAAAATTAACTTTTTGGAGCGTGACCAAGCTTCTACACATTAGTGTTTAATTTGATGTTTTAGAATCACAGCATGGTTTGGGGGGAAAGGGACCTTAAAGCCCATCCAGTTCCCCCCCCCCTGCCATGGGCAGGGACACCTTCCACTAGACCAGGTTGCTCAAAGCCTCATCCAGCCTGGCCTTGAACACTTCCAGGGATGGGGCATCCACAGCTTCTCTGGGCAACCTGTTCAGTGCTTCACCACCTTCCCTGTGATTAGCTCCCTTTAATTGCAGCTAACGTTTTGCTAAGCAGACTTCAACTGCTTGCCCAGAAAGCTCTGTAGTTACATGATTGCATTTGTTTTGACAGGGAAGGCCGTGCTGCTTTAATAACTTCCTTCTGTGTGTTTAAGTTCATGGCATTATACAGCATTATCCAGTACATCAGTGTTACTCTGCTATATTCTGTAAGTATTCTCTGGGTGCTTAAGCACTGTCAGCATAATTCAGCAATGTGGAAATTGATAGATTAATATAAACTGTTGCAAGTCCCTGAGTAGACAACACCTGCATTCTAAAAACTATCTTTGGACTAAAAGTATTGTTAGGTTTTTTTGCCTTTTTTGGGGTTTTTTTTATATTAACTGTGTGAAACGTGGTAGTATCAGTTTAAAAAAGGCAATAACTAAGGTCTGTGAATGGAAAGTCTTCGCAGTGGTAAGTCCAAATAAGCATATAAATTAAACAAAAATACCATTTTCCATTATTTAAAAACTGTCAGCATTTTAAAATAGCCTGCCTTTAAATAAAGGGCAATGCATTACTTTTACACAAGGTGCTGCCTTTCAGTCCTTACAGTGTTGAGTTAGGAGGGGGCAGAAAGCAAAGTGAAGCACTTCCTGTTAATATGATTGGATTCACTATATGGCATGTGGTAGAGCTTTGTTTTAGTTGGTGTTCTGGTAAGTTAAACATGCAAATATTAAAGGGCTTTTGAGGTGGAAATTTTCACAACTCTATGACTTACACAGTAAGGTTAAGGTGTTTAGAGAACGGTGGGTGTAAGCTGTTGTTTCATTTGTTTGTAAGATTCAGTAATATAGGTTTGATTACAAACAAATTTCAATTACAAGTAGCTTATGCATCTTAAAAATTAAATAGTTTTATACTTTGATACTTCAGGGGTTGGTCTGTGAACTGTAGAGCACTCAGGACTCCTGCAGATACAGGAAGCCAGTTTAACAAGAGACTGTCTTGTGTATAGAGGGAAATGTAAAGAATTAATGCTGTAGGAGTGTGACTGTAACATGATTCTTGGTGTGAAGAAATTACCAATGTTTCAGTTGTGATTTCTGTCTAGATCCTGAGCAATTTGGGAGATTTCCAGTTTCTCTTCATTGATTTGGCAATCATTTTGGTGGTTGTCTTCACTAGTAAGTATTGTGCTGAATTATCCCGGCTGGTTTCCATGAAGCAGTTCTTGTAGTTCTCATTAATATCTAATTCCATGCTGTTTGGAGTTGGCACTGTGACATACAGTTAAGGTGTTAGGACTGCTACAGGATTTGCAGTAAGAAAACCAAACCACTGTGTGCCGAATTAGATTCATCTGAAGTTTGTGACATGCCCTCGAACAAAAAGCAGGTTGTGGGCATGATCTTAGAAAAGCAGTTCTTCACAGTACAGGAAGTCATAAATCTCTACTGACATGAGGAAACTGGCTTTGCATTCAAACCAGGAGTTGTTCCAGTATAATCTTTCTCAAATGTTTTGATTTGTTGCAATTTTAGCTGAACTTCTGTCTGCAAAATATTACACTCAAAAACTATTACCTAGTGACATATTTGATCCACATACGAACCTTCCCCTCAGTTCACTGGCTGACAGGAGAATTCCTTTTTCAAGCTTAGAAGAAAATGATTCTTTGAATTAATGGCAGACCAAAACTGAGGAGATGAGCTGTAAGTCCTTGTGCCAGACAAAGAGAATTTGAGCAGACACTGCTAATTCCTTAAGTCTCATGGCTTCTGCTGGTCTGTGCTGCTGGGGTAACCAGCCTGTAGAAGGCACTGTAGCATTATTCCAGTCTCATAATCACTTCAAAGTGGTTTCACACTTGCAGTCCTGGACTAGTTTTAAAGTGGTATCATGAGCAAGCTGTTCTAATTCCACAGGATGTGTACAGGGTAGAATCATGTAATGGGTAGTTAATGTTTTTTTTCTCTTTGCAGTGAGTCTGAACCCTGCTTGGAAGGAGCTTGTTGCACGAAGGCCTCCATCAGGTCTTATCTCAGGTCCACTTCTGTGTTCCGTTTTGTCTCAGATCATCATCTGCCTTGCTTTCCAAACCTTTGGGTTTTTTTGGGTCAAACAGCAGTCCTGGTATGAGCCTTGGACAACGGAATCTGAGTAAGTGTTTCAGTGGCTCCATGCGGGATGGAAAAGCTGTAGGCAACAATTGCTCTCTTCTTTATTGACCTCTCTGGGGACTTTGTAAAGAAATCTCTTGTACAGCTTTGGTCTGCTGAATTTTGTGTGGTAAGCATACTAATACATAGGAGTTACCCAATGGCTGCAGTGCCAAACTGGCTCAGAGCCAGACAGCAGGGTCTGGAGACTCCTCTGCTTTGGGACAGTTGAGATCAAACTTTGAAATGAATAGTTCAGACCTATTTAAACTCTTCTATATTAATAAGTTTTGTTTTCCTGTTAGAGTTCCAGTAAATCGAACTCATATTTCTGAAAATGAAGAGGTGTATTAATCTTTTCTTAGATTGCAGTGTTTTCTTACCTGTCTTCAAAGTGTATCTCCGGTGATAGTTTCTAAACAGCTCATGCAGTGTACTTACAAGCTGGAAGCTTGTAACTTGAAGCACAGAATTCACAAAAGTTGCTACCTCCCTGCTACAGGTGTAGCAAGAAATAACTCACCTGTAATAAGTTTTAAAGGCTAAGCTTTTTCTTATTGCTGTAGCAATTCGTTCTGTCATTACTTTTGTTAATAAGTAGGCCTTGTTTGCATCTTCTCCTTCACTCAGTGTTAATGTATTTAACTACAACCTCTTTTAACGTTGCAGTGCATGTGATGTATTGGATGCCGCAAACCCCATCTCTGCACACCACGGGAATGAGACTCTTCATGATGAACATTACATTAAAAACTATGAAAACACAACTTTGTTTTTTATATCCAGCTTTCAGTACCTCATAGTGGCAATTGTCTTTTCTAAAGGAAAGCCCTTTAGACAACCGTGCTACAAAAATCGTAAGTCCTTGCTTACTATGTACAGTTCCAAGTAAAGCCCCAAGTGACTGCACTTACTTATTTATGGCTTGGTTACAATCCTGTTGTGCTGCTTCAGCAGTAAGAGTGTTGCTAGGAGAATATTGTGCAATTATCCTCCAATAATCGGAGATGGAAATAGGGGAGTACTAAACTGTATGAAGAAACCTGTGGTGATAGTTTGTAGAAGTATGTGTGCATATATGTTTCAGCTCCACAAGTGAGCCAGTGAGAAACTGGGCCTGGCCTTCTGTCTCTTTATGGCTATCAGCACAACTTGTATTGCCAATATCCTCCTGGAAGGGGTTTAGAGGGAGAAATGAGTCCATGATATATGGAAAAATTGTCTGAAACTCTGGTTGTGAGATGGTCCAATTAAAGTATTTTTTCCTTCTTTTACAGTTCTGTTTGTTATATCTGTGATAGTTCTTTATGTCTTCATATTTTTCATCATGTTGCATCCTGTTGAATCTATTGACACATTTCTTGAGGTAAGATTCAGGGGATAAGCAGGTGTCTCTACTTCCTGGGATAACTGTTTGGCTGCCTTTTGGGCAAGCTTGACGCCTTTAGAGCTTTAACTTCATATCTCAGCGAGAGGGAAGGGAGAACTTGTAACTCTGAGCCTGTTCTGAATGTGTGTTTACTTCGTATGTGTGTTGCTAACCTCTGCCACCTTTTTCTCACAGCTGGTGTGTGTGCCATATGAGTGGCGCCTAAGAATTCTCATTATTGTTGTTCTCAATGCGCTTGTCTCCGTGCTGACGGAGGTAAGAAATTCAAATGGAAAAAATGCTTATCTCTTCAGGGTTTTTTTTTTTTTCAGGGTACATGGTTGTCTTTTGTTAGGAAGGTCTCTTCACAGCATGCCAGTGTTTTCTGTTGACTAAGTTTCTATTCCTAAAAACGTCCTTAGAGGCTAGATTTAAGGGGTCAAAAGGTTTTGTGGGTTAAAAGCATAATTTTAAAACCATTTTTATTAATAAAAAAGAGGGGAGGGAAGTTGAAAGACTTATTGTCCTGTGAAATAGCTTATACTCTCCATATTTATGTGCTGTGTTAATTCAGTTCAGAGTAACATAATATAGTAAAGAACTACATAAAACTGTTAGGGGAGCACATCTCATTCAGCTGGAACACAAATGTAGCTTACTGCTTAGAATAATGCAGGTCTATGTAACTTACTCATCTGATCCAACCCCAGAAGTAGAGATGGTCATGCAGATCTGCTTTTTGCAGCCCTGAGCTTGTCCAAAGTCAGTCACACTGGATGATGACCTCTTCTGCTGTACTTCCAGAGTTCATGTGGGCAGAAACATGCCCTACCATCCAGGTGCCCCTGTGTTGTTTCCAAGAATCTCAGTTTCACAGATGCATCTTCCAGAAGGAGTCTGGATCCAAAGCCAGTCATTTATTCCTGTGGTTAGTTGTCCTCCCTTATTTCCAACCTGAATACATTTGGGTTTTGGTTGCAGCCATTAGTCACTTTTTTTTCCTGCAAGATGGAAAAACCTTTCAGCATTATCTACTGCTTGCACACTGCGATTATCTGTTCTTACTCTACAACATTTTTGCAGCTTCTAGTCAGTATTTCCATTAGTGTGTGAGGGATTGCTATCAAGGTAACCAGCATAATGTTTGCTTGGATCATACCATTTGGCCTTTGAAGATTACCACAGCATTAATATTCTTTCCAGGTCACTAGTTTTTTTCCCTTTTATTGCAACTTGGTAAAAATAAAATCAACTGAAGGTTTTTCGGGTACTTCAAGAGTTATCAGGGTTTTGTGTTCAAAGTGTTGTTCCAAAGAGAATTTGCAGTATATGCTGTTATGTTGCTGCCTACCGGAACATGTTTTTCAGCGTTTTCACACGATGGGCGATAACTTGTCTTCTACAATCCATGTCAGTAGATACTCATTTTTTGGCCTTTGCCTTGTTGTTAATAAGTTTATGCTCTCCTAAAGATCCTGTGCCTGCCTGACAGTGTCTGGTACTTACTCTAACTGTGCTTGTGATGTTTTCCTTTATGCCCTTCAATTCTTTCATTGTTTTGTACTACTAAACTCTTACTAGGTTTTTTTTTTGCCTTTTTGATTTTTTAAAAGTTAGATTTTGTGTATACTGCTGTCTTTGCTAGTGAAACAAAATAGTTATCTGAAGCTGCAGACCCGTGGCTTCTTTGTCTTCCGATGAATTTAAAACAGACCTCCTAGATAGAAATATTTTTTCCTGTTTACATTTTCTAGTCAGTTTTGATGATTGTCTTACCATCTCTGGGAAATCAGGGTTTTTTTTTTTAAACACTAAGATTATTCCTTGGAATTGAGCTTTTTGTGTTGATACGTGGAGTGTAAATAGGTCGTAGTTACCATTTTCAGTCCAGTGATAATCATTACTGAGAGAAGGAAACTTGCCTTCTGCTGAACAATTACTTCTTCTGCAGATGCTCTTTCTAACTTTTATGCACTCTGTTGGTGTTCCTGTTCTGGAAGTGTAAGGGCTTCTGGTCTGTGCAGTGTGTCAGCCCGCCTATCAGCACGTGCCTCTCAAGGACAGATGGTTCTCTGGCTTAAATGTTCATAACATTCCACTCCTGGGGCTTATTGGTTGCCACGTCAATCTGTAAACTTTAGAGTTCCTAGGAAGCATAACCTAAGCAATATAATTACTCTAGAGCATTTGCATTCACCCAGTATTTCAACCCTCACCGCACACCCCTCTTCCTATGCAGGTTTGAGTTAGCATCTTTCAGCACTTTAGTCACTTGATTGCCGTTACCAAAACGGGTAGGATGCTTTGTCACATTACCTTTAACCACACTTGCCTGTTAAACTTGTTGCCCGTGCTTTAGGAGTGGAATAGACCTAATTCTAGAATCTCATTTTCTTGACATTATGTGTTTTGGACGTTCTGCTTTCACTTAAACCCCATTATTTTCCCTGTTAACTGAATGCTTTGTTTAGACATAAGCTGCCTTACTGTACAGCAGCTGCCCAACCGAAGCACTGCCTGGCCATCCTCAAATCCCAAACCTTGTTTTACAATACAAACTTGACCTTCCATGACTTCAGCCTGCGTTTGTCCCACCTTTTGAACTGTGTCCAGCATGGCTCCCGGAAGCTCTTTCATGTGGTGCCAAGTCTTTGGGTCCAGTGGGTTATGTAGAAGTTGCAGGCTGTTTCATTCCTTCATGTCCAGCATAGCTCACTGCCCTTCTGTCCCCGTGTGTCCGGCTGGATGTTCTGCTCACTGCACTTTTCACCACAGAGTTACTGAGGTCAATCTGAGTATCTCGGAAAAGATGCTGGTGGCATCTCCTTATTTCTTTTAACAAGGTCTTCTGTCACTATATCACCTATAGTTTGTTCTGCTGGGACTAATCCCCCAGTAATTGCCTCTCTGAGTGTCTCATAATGATGAGATACACGAGGGATTGGATCTACCTATTGTCACACTAAACTCCCATGTAGTTTCTTAATCGCTCCTACAATAGGAATGATTTCTGATTCTTGTTGTCCCAGACATGTTTTCTGGAATGCTGCGTAAAGCTTTTGCTCCTTCCATGTGGGTGCCAGGCTGGGTTCACAAAGAACGCGTGTTCTTTCTGCCAGATGACAGAAAATACTGCACAACAAAGGCACATCCTGGCAGATGTTCCTCCTTACCCCGATGCCTGATACGGACATACTTAAACCAGACTGGCTTAAGAAATTAACATCTAACAAGCTGAAGATTTGCTGGCAAATGCTTTATAAAAGTGCAGTAAAATTCTGGTATATTACAAAATCATAAGCATTATAAAATGTGTTCTAAAAGTCTGGCTAGTGAGCTCCCGTTTCCCAGCGGCAGAGGTGAGTCAGATGTTAGGCATCAGTCAGTCTGTAGATCAGAGGTGTAGGCTCAGGGCTGTGGAAGATGCAGGTTCACACCTGTGTGGCCGGATTTGCTCAAGGCTCTCGAGTCCGCCCACGCAGCGCTATGGGAATAACAGGATGTACTGAACACACTGTTCAGCCTCTGCCCTCTTTTCCAAAATCTGGAAGGGCTCTGACAGAATTCCTTCAGACTTCCTGCTGGTGGCTCAGCATTCCCACCCCACTGAAGCTTTTCTGGGAATGCCACTGGTTTAAAATAAACTAGGAAAAAAGTGTGGCTCCAGGGTGAAGTTCACTATAACATCAGAGATGGTTTGAGGTGAAACTGCTTTAAGCACTCACGTCTGAAGTGCCTCACAGGTTGGTTTTTTAGTATTGAAACACATTAAGAATGTGTATTTATGGGGGTTTTTTAACCTGTATTGATGGATGCAATTTTGGTCACTGGTGCTATTGATTTAAAGTACATGTTCATATTCTTAAATCTCACGTGAGCACTTTAAGAATGAAAATGTTTTATCACTTAAGTACTGACAAGTAACGAGCTCCGTTTTGCCTGGCACTGAATTAGTTATGCCTAACACACTGTTTCAGGTTTTATTTGTAATATGCACACTAACAACAAATGATCATTAGTCTCTTTAATTCTTCCCGCTCACTGCAATGTCTCACAGAATGTCCTCCTTGATATGATCCTTTGGAAGGTTGTGTTCAATCGAGACAAACAAGGAGAATATCGCCTCACCATACCCCAGCCGCCTCAGGTTGGAGACTAGTATTTTGCTGTCATCATTTCAGTGCATGCAGATTAATTCAGTTTTGTCTTTTTTTTTTTTAAATGATCTAGAAGAGTCTGTTGCCTTACCTTAAGCTTAAGACTGTTAAAATTAGATTTCTGTAAGTTGAATATTAAAAAGAAAGGCTTCTGGTTGTATATTTTTCTCCTTGCTAACGCTTAGAGTTCAGCTCTGTGTACCAGGATGGGGAAGCAAACGCAGAGGATTGCTTTTAAAGCTTTTACATTCATTTTGCACATTAGCAAATTTTATTTGCATTATCGCAAGGTAGCTTGCTAGGACTGGGAACATCTTGATTTGCTTGGAAGCAGAATTGTTGATGCTGGGTCTAATCCAGTTCTGTCTTAAATTAATTGGCTGTAGGGTTTTAGAGCATCATTCGTGAGAGCAGTAACTAATAGCATGTACAAATGGAATGAGGCAAAATGGCAAATGAAGTACATTATTACAATTCAGATGGCTTGGGAGACTTTTGAAGGATTTAGCTTCTGGTTTTCAGGTGACCACAAATCTTGGTCTGGTCTGCCCCTCTGTCCTTAATACATGAAGGAAATCTGTGAATCCCATAAAACCTAGCTTTTTCTTTTTTTAAGCCTCCTGGCTTATTACTTTTAGCTGGTTGTACATTTGTTCGTGTTAGAATGGCAATGGTTTATTTCTCAGCACTAAATTTTATTGAAAGTATTCACCTCTGGCTTACACTTGTCTTTATGAGGCTGCTCAAGAAAAAAAATTGCTTTGTGTTCAGTGAAGAATGGAAGTTGTGTTTAAGGCTCATGTTTGGCTCAGGTCACCACTTGTTAGGAATTCAGAGCATGAAGATGACCGTATAGAATATATCTCCATGAAACTGTCAGCCTGGCCGACTACAGGTAGTCCCTGAGACCTGAGAGGAAGCCACTCTACAGAATGAGAAATGGTGCTTCTCTTCCCCAGCTAGTTGTTACACGCATTTAGGACTGGGAGAGGAAAACAGAAAGGAAGACTTGAGTTCAGTAATTTGTGTCTGTTTCAGTAACTATTAACACCTGTAGGACTTGGGTTTCACAGTATCACTTCTGCCACTTGCGGCTGGCTGGCTGCCTTCGGTTCAACAGTTCCTTGCTTCCCAAGTGTTTTGAGACTCTGGGAATGTGACTGCTATTTCTAGTCCAAAGTTTTGTTCTTCAATAGCAATGTTGTTTAATGGGGCCTGGTGCACCTGTGCTTATTGAAACTGATACAAAATATGCAAAAAAGCTGGTGGTGACCTTAGATGTTACTGCAATGCAGAATCCTTGGGCTTTCGTAATGTTTTTTTCAATGCCATTGCTATCATAGCGTAGAAGAGATGACAGAACAGGAGAGTGTCTGTACTACACTTTCTAGGTCCAATGTGACAATGACATAGTAAATTAGAAACTGAAGTAGTACTTTTCTTCTAGCAATTTGCTGTGTTGTTAGTAGTATTCATTTTTTCTTGTGGTAATCCAGTTTTCAAATCTTTCATTCCTGCAGGAGGCTGTGGATCGCTGTGGAGTCTGTTTCCTTTCTTCCCTCTTGGGTTGTAGAGAGAAGACACCAAAAGCCAAGTATATGCATCTAGCTCAGGAACTGCTGGTTGATCCAGAATGGCCACCGAAACCCAGGACAACAACAGAAGCAAAAGTACCATCCCAAGAAAACGGCTCCTATCAAATCATCACTGTAACGTAACGGTGGATCTTGGTGGCGTGTGTCTTTAGTAGTATTCAGAAGAATGTAATTTTAAGGCTTTATTTGAACTTGCAGTATACTAAATGTCAAATTCTAATGCAGATATTTCCATCTGGTGTGTCTCTCTGAATACCAGCTTCAGGGCCAGACATCTTACAGCTATACATTTTAAAAATGTAGGTTACCTTAGGCAGAACAAAACTGGTTGTGTTTCCTTCCACCTTCTTTCAAATTTCATTATTCTTAAATGAGATGTATTTGAAGGTTTAAACTGCAGGGCAGTTAAAACAGGCTCACTTTATTTGCCTGGAGGATCTTAGTCGTTTTAACTTGCTTACCTGGGCATGTGGTCATGTAAACCCTATGATGTGATGGTTTCATGGTCGTACGAGAGGCACATAACCACCTTGTCATGCCCTTTTTTTTTTTTTTTAAGTCACTGTTGAAAAGCTTTGTGCCTCAGAACGGTTCTAAAGTTTTGGTGTGTGTACCTCTAAGTTTGCCCCTACTAGTACAGAGTGTCTCCAGGTGTAAAGTTTGGATTTCAAGTTTTAATTATGTAGTCTGCCACAGCAGGAAAAAAAATAGAAGCAATATGCTCTGTCCTTAAGAAGAAAGCACATTGCTTTCAAGTGGGTTCTTGGCTTCTTCTCTAGCTAACCCCCAGGAAGGGCTTAGGTGGCCTCCAGAGGAGGAGGCATGTGGCTACACTCTAAATTTTTGGAGAAGGAAGGCTGGAGGATCTTCACACTTTCTTCTGTCTCATGTTTTATTACGTTTAGCTATGCATTTCTCCAGACTTCGCTTTTTCCAGCAAAAGGGTTGGATTATCCCTTTGTGGACCATGTTTTATTTGTAAATCTTAGGATAATTTTCCTACGTACCTTGCAGTAGTAAGGCTGGAGTTACTGCTGCAAGGGAAATGGGGGTGGGAGGGAGGAATATTTCCACATGCCCACGCTTGGGATTTGTGCATGTTACGAACATCCGCATTTCAAAAAGTCTGCCAGTGTCTTAAGCACTATATGTAGCTGTATGAAACAAAATTAGGAAAAAATAGATGAGCTAAAATCTGTCTTGCTGCAGAACTGTAAGGCTTATGTGGATTTTTTAATTAAAAAAAAAAAAAGGAAAAGCTTGCATCACCAATAATGCTGCTGAAGCACTTGGGGTAGCGATACGTCGTTTTGCCATTAGGCGGTGTCAAAACACAAGACCGCTAGAAAAACAGGTCTGCAAAGATGTAGAGGCAGGGATCGTCTTCACCTGCAAAGCTTAAAACTTCTGGGTTTTTTAAACCACATATTACTTATCTCCAAACCATCTTCAAATTGCTGAACTTCCAGAGAGTTTTCTTTGGTGTCGCTGGGAAGATGATAAAAGTACGAACTCTAGATCAGTCTGTTTGGACCAGCTGCAGCTGACTGGCTCAGACACCTCCAGGCTTTGGGAGGGCATCGTGGATCCAGAGAGATCCCCAATCTGTAGAGATCCTTTAGAGGGGGAAGTAGAGTCCTTTAGAGTAGTTGTGGAAGGAGGGCCCCAAACTCCCTGGCTGGCTGGGATTAGTTTGAATTGTGTGTATTCTGATCATGGAATTTGAAGGGTGTTTTTTAAATTCCTGTGGAGACTGTCGCATTCCAGTATTGTTTAAACAAGGGGAATTTTTCAGGCCGGACCCAATTCCACTCTGCTGTTCTGTGGGGCAGTATGGGCAGTGGCCCCACTGCTCACGTTACGGTCTCGGCAGTGTTGAACGTACCGTGCCAATGGGGAATTTAAGAGTGGTGCTAAATGGCTTGGAAGACTTTTTCCTAGAACTCGGGGGTTTAAGTTACTAGCGCTTCCTCCTCGTAAGTAGTCTGCATATGGTGTACTATCCTCCAGTCCAGCTGTCAGCTCTTTTCCTGATTTTGTTTGTTTGTTTGTTTTTGGGGAGTGGAGGAGGAGGAAGGGGGAAGTGGTTTTCTTAACGTTCATTCAACAGAGTGATGTAGAAGTCTTGTTGTCCTGGCTTCCTAGGGTCGTAAACATGGAACAACAGCGGTAGCTTTTAAGGGGTCTGCGGTTGTGGACCTGGATAAATTTAATAATCATGAATTTGAGTCAGTTGGCTAATTTCTGTCAATGTTGATTTTTTCTGTAGCATGGAATAATTGATGAAGAATAATTCTTAGCTGCGTAAGTAGTATTCAAATTTAAGGAAAAATAATGTTTTAGTTGAAAACTGTTGTGAAGCTATGCATCTGGGACCTGGGAGCTGTGACTTAGCCTTAGGCGAATAAGCTTCTGCTTTCCGTTTCATTGACCGTTTTAGCTTGGTTATGCCATCAGAAATGAAAGAAAAATGTTTGTCTTTTGCTTAATATAACTTTCTCTAAACTGCTGATTTCTTTTGGCTTGTTTGGTTTCTGAAGTCTTTCAGTCTTATTCTAGTTTAATAGACTTATCTAGAAAGTGGGGAGGAAAGAGCTTATTGGGGTGGGTTTGTCTTTGGAGAACATTTTAGGGAACCCTTACTGAGACCGAAATTGCTAAGTGTCTCCACTTGATGGAGTGACTAATAGGTCACGAGTCTCTTAAACTCGAGTATTTTGCAAATGGGATCTAGTTTCCTCAAGGTCTGCACTCAGAGTTAGCGAATGTTCCTGAGGTTGCATGCTTGAGCTCTGACCTAGTTGCTTCTGACGCTTAGTCAAGAATAATAAATCAGCTTTTCTGAGAATCCTTCTTGTTGTTGCAAGTTGAGCCACAAAATAAGCTTTTGCATCTTCTGTAATTATTGGGATTTATGCCTTCCTGCCCAAGAGCTGAGTTTGGCCACCTATAATTTTTCTCATTTTGAGCAGTTTCATTTTTCTGGTTTTCAGAAATGCAGCAAACTAGATCTGCACTAGCGTATTCAGTTTCTACTTTGAAGTGAGACGTTGTAGTGAAAAGAATCTCTTCTAATGTTCATCTTGGAAGTCTAAATTCAGGTGAACAGACCAATTTAGTGATCTCCACTAGATACTTGGTAGACGTTTTCTTCCTGCTGTATATTTTGGCCTTACGTTGAGAAGTTTGATTTATTATTAAATTATTTGTGTATGCAGACTTTAATCTGTACGTATTTTACTTTGATGTATTAGGATTTGTAAATATTGCTGATTTTTAAATATTATTTATGCACATACTTAAAGGACTGGTCTACCCAGCAAAGCAATTGCTAAATAATAAATGTTACTTTTTAGAAATAAATTGCGAGATCGTTAAATTGTATATCCCTCAGGGTTATTTTTAAAGGTTTTTCTTCTCTTCCCTTCCGTTTCAATTAGCAGTAACTCTAGTTTCATGTACTATAGAACTAAATCTACTGTAAAGGAAATGCTGCGAATAATGCTTGAGTAGAAGTGGCTAAAACAACCGCAGAACTGACTGTCCACATTCTTCGTAACTCTAAATTGGGAACTCTTACTGTTGCACTTTTTACAAGCTGTTGGATTTCTAAGTCTATTTATTTTTTTCTTCATGAAGGTTGTGCTGAACAGTCATCCCAAATAGGGTAAATGATCCTGTGCTGTACATGTGTATACAGTATAACAGTGTAATACTGAACAGATGTGTAGTCCTTTTTATGCTGCAAATTTTTAATGCTTAAGTTGGTCATCACAAAACGAGAGAGCTGAAGTTCTGTAGGATTTCTCCCATGAAATTCCGAATTGTAAATTTAGGTTTTTGTATGTCTAAGGGAAAGCTGTGGGTTTTTGACAATTTTTAGAGTATTGACTATGTTGATTTTATACAGTAAAGCTTCAGGTTTTTAAAGCTATTTTCAACAAACTGCAGCTTGTTTGATAATTATGCGAACCAGAAACTACTCAGTTGGTCGTGAGTTCCTCAAGCCTAATGCAAATCAAAAGGTTCATCGTTACAGCGCTCTCTAGAAGCTCGGCTTTCTTTTTATTTTTAAATCTGAAATGATACTACATCTTTCTATTTAAAATATGTACTGCTGCTCTAGAATGGTACCCTGTTGTCAAGAGGCATACATAAATAACTGTACAATAGAATTGTAAATAGACTTGTAAATCATTTTTGTGACTGAAGCTCTTTGAAAATAAAATTAAAATGAACAGATATTTTAACTCTTTTCATTAGTTTCATGGAATTGTTTTTAATTATCCCTGATACAGTTAGATGCAAAGCTTGTTGACAGGCACAGACGTGCTCCCGCTGATGGCACCAGTACGTGTTTTGGAGGACGGGGGAGCGCAGCACGCCTGCTGTGTGCTAGCAGTGCGCGCGGTGCCCCGCTGTTCTGCAGCGGGTAACGCTGACGTAATGTCACCCGGTGGCTTAGGAAGGCCAGTCACAAGCCAGACCTCGTACACGGGATAGCGACTCCACCTTCTGTTCTGCAGATGTTCCTTCTGTTCTTTGGGCGTTATCTTGAGAAGACTCTCAGGCAAGTGTTCCTGGTTGTGAGTTGTCACTGTTGTCGCAGTCATCTTCAGAAAAATCACACAGAAAGGAAGACGTCTGTTCCCATCCTGCACCTCACCTTCTGTTTAATTGACGTAGCACATCGTTCTAAAATTGAAGAAGACATTTGAATTACCTGGTTACATCATTACAAAAACTTAATCTTTCCATTTCAAGCTAGTATTTTGATAACTTAAAGCTTTTCTCTCTTCAGAATCTTTCAGGCTTTAGGTTTTGTTGGCCCGTGACTACAGAAGACTTGGAGGAAAAACAGAAGCCAGATGGGTCGACCCTGGATTGCCAAAGCGTTAAGCAGAAAGCTTCATTCCTTACACAAATTGCTTTGCGTCCCATCCTGCAAGAAGGCAGAAGCCAGTGCAGCCTTGTGAAGGTACCTATCAATCACTTGGTTGGTGAAAGCAGATGTGTCCTCTCCTTCAAACCCCACTGCACAGGGTAGCAGGCTGCAGTGAAGCTGTGTCTGACAGACTTGACATTTCTTTCTGATCATAATTCATGCTGAAACGCGGGTTTCTGACTCCACCCTTGCATTGGACTGGTTGAAGCACATACTCCAGTATGTTGGAGAAGCTACAAGCAGGTTTTGTGCTGTTGCACATGTGGCTTCAAACTTCCTCCGGTTCTGTGAGCACAACCAAGTGTGGGCAAAATCTTCTTTGAAGCTTAAAATATTGTTTGGCCTTTCACAGTAGTTACACAAATACGGGTGAAAGTGTTATCTAGGGGATGTGTTTTCCTGTTTTACTTTCCACTTAAAGTGCAGACTCATGGTTAAGCCTGACTGCCTGCTGTGCTCATAGTAAGTTCCCTTACAATACAGTTCAACATTCCTTTTTCATGGAGTTTAGAAACATGCAAGAAAGTAAAAAAGAAAAGCACCATAGAAATGATACATGTGCTCAGTCTTCTATGAAACCAAGTTCAAAATGGATTTGTGACTTTAAATATGCTAACAGTATTAATGTATTGCTTCTGGCTTCCTTCTGTAGCCTGAGAAGCCTTAAGGGGTGGTAGAAAGAGGCTGTAGAGCAGAGCATGGTAAATGACCAGCCAGGCTGGTGACCTTTCTGGAACGGCAGGTGTCCCACGTGAGAGTTTGAGAGATTTTTAATACACGAGAATGTGTAGTTACGACCCCTGCATTGATCTTGCTGTATTCTCTACTATTAAACTCTTCAATTAAGGAAGTTTAAGTATTTTCTCAAAAGATACCATTAGCAGCTCAGGATGTTTTGAGATCCGCAGGATTATCTATCCGGTTCCTGTCTCATTCACTGTGGCTGTAATCTCTTTTCTCTCATGGTCTAGGGTTGAGTTGGTGCGGGCTGAGATGCCAGTCAGGGCTTGGAACAGAAAGGTCTGCGTTTGTCCCGCCTTGCCGAGCCAGGCACGGCTCGACGGCCGCCCGCTCCACTCACCCTGGGTGCGCCGGGGTGCTCCTCACCGGAGAGGTGGGGATGGGCAGGATCGGGGCCAGGCTGCCTTGCGAGTGTGTCTGTTGAGGTGAAAGCGTCACTGCTTGGTGAGATGGTCGGTTCTGGAGTGGGAGGGTGAGAGTCTCTGGAAAATTCTTGTTTGACATGGAAAAGCCCTTTGGAAGGGCAGAATCTCAAGGCCTTTTTTTGGTGAGTGAGTCTCAGAGTTGTCGGAAACCCAGTGAGGCCTTGCTCTGTGGCACCGTGTTGCTCGTAGTTGATAGCAGTAGGTGCTGTGTCTGGTCCTTCCCGAGGAAGGGATGCAGATTCTCTCAGTTCCCAGTTCTCTGAAGTTAACAGAATCTTTTTTTCTTTAAAGTACTCGCTTTTGCTTTTTTTGGTGCAGCAGCTGGGTTTGATCCATGGTATGTTCCTGTCAGAAGTTCAGGCACGTGAGCAGCTGCCATCCTGCCTGCTTTACTCCTTTTTAAGTGGTGGGATTTGTACCCAGGTCTGTCTGTGGGCTTGGTATGGGAGAGCTTCATCCTTACCCCTGCAAAAGCCTATGTTGGGATGGAGCCCTCTCCCCCAGTGTTGTCCGTGCTGAAGGCCGACAGGGCGTCAGCGATTCCAGCTGTGTCTGTAGAACTTGTCCAGCTGCCAGCTGCTGCTTCTCCCACTGATCAGCCAGGTGCTTGACTTCCAGGTTTCTGATACACTTGGACTTGCTGATTTCACTAGGGAAGTGTTTCTAAACTCTGGCTTTCTGTTTGACTTGCTCTTCTAAATATTATCATTACAACTGCAACCATTGCTTTCCTGTTCCTTTTTTTTTGTTTGGAATTCTATACAACTTTCCAACTCTGTAGTGTGTTGTGCAGATGTACCTTGATTGCTAGAGCTTTCTAGCCAACTTCATGGTGCTTCGCTCATTCATTGTGACTTTAATACCAGGGGTCGCTTCGTGTTGTGTGAAGCTGGTTACAGGGGCTGGTTACAGAGCCTCACTACTGTCTGCGCTGCATGAGCTCGTGTGTTATTTCGGGCTACGTCAGAAATAGCCTGTTGCTTTGTGTGTGTTCTTGGGCAGTTCCAAGAAGCGGTCGCTTGCAGATACCACGAGATGATTTATCAGAACCCTGTGCTGTTCTGCTTCTGGCCACTTAAAATACAGGACACCCTTTTTACCTCCATTATCTATTTTTGCAGACTAAATTTTATTTTTAAAACTCGGGTAACCTACAATAAAATAATATTGTGGGTGCAGGAACTGTTGATAATTTTTTAAATACTTGGCGTGTTACTTAGTATAATGCTTTTCTGTTCAAATAAATACATGCCTTATGTCTACTTAGAGTTTCATCGAGATTTTCATATGCTTGTATTGAAGTTGATTAATACAAATATAAACAAGGAATACTTGATCTACAAAAGAGCTTTATCTGTACTTCTCAAGCACCTTAGAAATACTTGCAGTCAGCGGTAATGGATTTTCAAGTTTGCTTTCAAGCCAAGAGAAATTTTGCACACGTTTTCAAGTTTCGTGATATAATCACATGATTTTGTCGCCTGCTAAGTTCTTAACTACCTGTGGTCAAATCCTGACTCTCTCTTATCTCTTGTAACAGCTAATGTTTCTGGCACTTCAACCAGGATGTTGGTGTTTCGTTTGTCAGTGATGATCAAGCTTTTCTTCCAGTTGGATGCCTCTGTTTGTCCTGAGAAATGCGACTGCTCTTCAAAAACTGCAATTCATTGCTCTGGCCCCCACATAAAAGACCTGGAATCATTAAATCTGCCTTGCAACATGACAGAAATTCACATAACGGACACTAACCTAACGTACTTGCAGGATGCTTTTGCGAGGATGGCGGCACTGCAGCATCTCATCTTGTCTTCAAACAACATCTCTCTGATTTCACCAATGGCTTTTAAAGGCTTGAGAAGGCTAAAAGCCCTCAAGCTGCTAGATAACAAGCTGGTTGAACTCCCCCCAGAAGTGTTTGGTGACATGTTACAGCTTCAGCAGTTGATCATTGAAAATAACAGGTTGAAATCCATCGAAGAAAACTTGTTTGACAAACTAGCGAGTTTGGAGGAGCTTTTCTTGAACAAAAACCAACTAACAGCACTTCCTCGTGGCGTGCTGAAGAAACTTGCCAAACTCAAAGTACTGAACTTGTCGAGAAATTATTTGGCAGCACTGCCTAGGAATATATTTAGTGCGTTAGTCAGGCTTGAGAAGCTGATGCTGTATTTCAACAGGCTGTCTTCGATAGAGCCGGGTATGTTTGACAGCCTGAAGGAGCTGCTGGAGCTCTTCCTGCATTCCAATAACATCCAGTCCATCGCCCCTGATGCATTTCATTGTCTTCATAAACTGAGAAGCCTAACGCTCTCCAGAAACAGGCTTGAGGTTTTGCCTCCTGGGCTCTTTCTGCACTTGCATGACCTGTCTAAATTGACCTTGTACAGGAACCCACTGAAGTCGCTTCCAGAAATACTGTTTGGAGAAATGAGGCATCTTGGTAGCCTGTGGCTGTATCACACGAAGCTCTCAACGATACCAGACTTTGTGTTCAGTAACTTGACAAATTTAGAGTTTCTTGTGCTGAGTTTTAATCCAGAGCTTAGCGTTCTTCCGAAGAATGTATTCAGTGGGCTGAGTGAGCTGCAGGGCCTTTCTCTGCATACAAATAACATTTCCAGCCTGCCAGAGGGCATCTTCCTCAGCCTTCAGAAACTGCAGAACATTTCCCTTTTTGATTCGAGGCTTGAGGCTCTTCCTAGAAACCTCTTGCGCAATCTCAGGCACCTTCAGAAGGTTTATCTCAATAGTACGAAGCTGCAGTCTCTTCCCGGAGATTTCTTCACCTCTTTACCTGAGCTGCAAGAAGTCTTCCTTGACAACAACCCTTGGAAATGCGATTGCCAAATTCTTGGCTTCCGAGGGTGGCTCCGGAAGAGCACGGAGATCGTTAGAAACGTGCCGTCTCTGATGTGTGACAGCCCGCTGGCGCTGCAGAATCTCTCCCTCGTGGCTCTAACGGAAGATCACCTGCAGTGCCTGCCGACCGCAGCCGTTCCGTACCACACGTGCAGCACAGCTTCCGCTCCGCTGGTGACGGAGCACTTGACATCCTCTTGGGAGACGGCTGTAACAGCGGTGTCTGACGTGGATACCGGCACGTCCACGTCGATTCCTCTTGGGACTCCAGTTTCTACCTCCTCACACGCTCAAGGTGTTGGGCAGCCTGGGTTTCCTCTCCCAGATATTCCAACCCAAGCTTCTCCCAGCATCATAGTAGCAACCAACAGTGTCAGAGGCACAGATTTAACTACTCTTGCCTGGTGGGATGAGCTGCCAGCCCACAGGAGTGCAGAGCCCTATTTTAATACCGGAATCACTTATTGTCAGATATTCTTGTGCCTTCGCAGTTTGATTTTAGCACTCCAGGCTGTAACCCTGGTGCTCAGTCTGTATGTGATGGGTAAAACCAGGCAGCTCTCACACTCCAGAAATATTCCGGCTCAGCCTGTAGTTCTGGTAAAATTTTTAAGAAGATAGAGCATACCAGATAAAGAGAGGATTAGAAGCACCGTTTGGGATGCACTTGGAGCAGTTGGGCAGTTCACACTTGATTCAGATATGGATTGCAAAACCTGATAGCAAGACCCGTAAAGCCCTTGTTTTTAAAGCATAATGAAAATGTGCTTTTACGCACCTTAGTGTGTGCCAAAAGGTATTGTAATCGCCGTACGTTGCTCCAGACGTGGTGCGTGAACGCAGGGGGAGAGTGGGAAGAAAATCTGTGGTCACCTCTCCACGTACGCTCCTAGTTCCCTGCTTGGGACTGCAGCCCCGTCCCTGGCAGACACCACTGCCTGCCACCGTGCGCACGCCGCTCAGGTGGAAGTGGCACCAGCGTAGGGAAGGCTGCATGGGAACGGGGCTTTAACTGTGCTTTTTGCCTGTGGTGCTCCAGATGCTGTTGTGCCTTATACTGCCTGCAGTGCTTTGTCTCCTGATTGAGAAAAGAAATAGTGTTTTTGGGGGGAGCTGCTGGAAAAGACCTTTTAAAAATGGAGTTGGGGAGCAGAATGTTGTGGTGCCAGTGTCTTCGTTTTTGCTTTCTGTCCTCAACCCCTTTCCAGGACATGGCAGGAGGCAGGGGTACAATTAAAGCTAATGGTGCTTTCCTCTAGCATAGCCAGGGGAAGGTAAGTGAGATGCTGGGCTGGGAAGTATAATCTTGATGTATTTTATTGTTTGTTTTTACTGAAACTTTGTAACATTACTACGTATCTGAATTTGAAGTAAACACTCTAACCCTTAAACTTTGACCAGTGGTCTGCAGAGTAAGGTGCTGGTGGTTGCATGCTGCAGGGAGTCTGGGAGCTGCAGCACCAGGCGGAGGCTTGGCTCCAGAGGAGCGTGCCTGGCCTGAGAGCCGGTCCTGACTGAGCTGGGCGAGAAGGGGACGGTCTCTCCTGGGCTTGGCTAGCGAGACTTGGGCGTGTAGCGAGGTGGCAGGGAGCCTGACCTGAGGGCCCCAAAGTGTTGCCACCTTTGTTGGAGTTGGCTGGGGAACATGGGCATCCCCACGAGATCGCAGTGTGCTGTAGCATATGCAGTCACACTCAGTACTTACCTTTCCTGGCTCCACACGATTACTCCCTGACTTCCAGCCCTTTCAAGTGTTGATATGCAAAGACACCTACGGGGCAACAGCGTGGGTCTTGGTCTTCATACTGAAACATGTTTTAATATTTGGAATGATGGGAGTGTCTTTGTGAGTCAGACTGCATGGGCTCTGGTAGCACTTGGATTTAACCATTAGCTTTTATCTTAATTATGTGACTTGGCTTGTTCTCCAGAGCTCTGATGTTGTGCTAAGAAGCTAGGTCTGGATTAAAGAGCCTCTGGATGTGGTTCCACGGCTCTTTGCACAGGAGACCATGTACTCTGGGAGTCCTTTTGTAGCTTTACTGACTTCAACTATGGAGGTCTTTCCTGGATGGCCTTGAAATGGCACTTCACAAGCCTGACCTGAAGAGAGTGTGTATTTGCCGCAGGTCTGTGGCTTGTTCCCTGCCACGTGCTGCTCTAGGCAGTGAGAATAAACTCTGGACTGCTTTGCTTCAGGGTGCTCTGCTGCTGGACTCGAATTCCTGTTCTAGGCTGTGGAAAGAGGCAGTGTGCTTTGGGAGTGTTAAATAACCATCGTCTTGCCGGTGAGTTTTAACACAGTTTGGGAAGCCTGGCTAAATGGTAGGTAAAGCCATCTCTACAGGAGGAGAAATGCCAGTCACTACAGCTGGTGTGAAGTGAACTGGGACTGGATTCATCAACAAGCACCAGAATATTTATTGCAATGCATTTGGGAAGCACAAAGCCAACGTGAAGCTTTCTTGGTGGTTCTGGGTTGTTTACACGCTAGTGCTTAAAAGGAGGCAGTTGTTGCAAATTTAGGTTCTAGGTTGGGCAGCTGTAATGACCACTTAGTGCTGTCCCAGCGCCGTTGTGCCGTGCCACGCGAGCATCTGCTCGCAGCGGGCGGGAGATAAGCACAGTCTGGGCTAACGAGGGAACTGTTCTACGAGCTGTGCTGGTGAGGTTTCCCCACTGAGGAAATGCCACCCTGATGCCGGACCACTGGAAGAGGCAGCATCAGCCACCCTTCTGCCCCTGCTCTGGCTGCCCCAGCCCCACCGTGGGACCTGCTGGGTCTCTGCGCGGCGCCTTTGGCTCCCATCCTGCGGTCGCTGAGCTCCAGCACGTGGGGGCTTTGGGGTGCGGCTGCGCACAGGCAGGGGCTGGGAGGAGGATGATTAGTCCGTACGTGCTGTCATCGGGCTTTCCCAGCGCCTGAGCCAGCGGGAAGTGAAGTCAGCAGACAACAAAAGGCTGGAGCAATAAGAGCTGGGGGTGTTTTACTGACTCTTCCTCTGAGCTGTCTGTCCTGTTTTGAGCTGTCTCTGATTCATTGCTTGTTGCTCAGCAGTGCTCAGCCCTTCCTGCAAAACTCCCTGGCCTGGGAAATCCAAGGATATGTTATCGCTGTTATATCCCACCTCTGTTTTGCCTGGAGAAGGGACATCTTCAAGGGCAGCGTGAGGGTGGCTATGGCAGGTGGGGAAGGAGCAGGGAGGGCTCCCTGGGGAACGTGCCGCCCCTCGCGCCCTCTCTGGGCAGTACGGCCGTGCTGGTGTCTCGGGGTGCCGGTGGCTTGCCATCGCCGGTGTGTTGGCAAGGTTCTCCCTGGTCCCTGCAGCTCGCGCCTTTGCTGCCTGGCCTCTGCCACCGCGCTGGGCCTGGGGGACTGTGGGCTGGAAAGGCTTGGAGGTATCTAATCCCTGGTCTGGGGCATCCCTGCTGCTGGGAAAGGGATGGATTCAAAGCACGCCTGTGCTCGGGAGCTGAGGGGATCAGCTCCACGCCCTTGGCTGCTGTATGGGACGGGATGCGGTTGTGCTAGCAGCCCTGCACGCGAACCAGACCTCGGAGTCCCAGGAGCAGCCTTCGGGAGTGCTTGGAGTATGTCACTGGTGCAGCCTAGCCAAAGGTCTTCTGGCTCGCTCGGTTCCTGCGGCAGCTGCTCCGGCTCTGCGCTGGAGCAGTGGGAGCCTCTGCCTGCTGTGCTGGGCCCTACGCAGCGTGTTTCCAGCCCGATGTCACCACAGGTGCTGTTCTTCGCTCGTCAGGACTTGAGTCCCCTCCTAACAGCCCAGAGAGCGTGGTGGCAAGGAAGGCATTAACTGCTGCTGCAAGGGCTGGCAGCCCTTTGCCTGCTTCCCAGCTGCTGCAGGACCTTTCCGAGCCACCAGCACCCGTGTGCTCGGCTCGTGTCCCCAGCATCCCCATCCTTTCCATCCCACCTCTGCCACGGCAGGCCGGTAGCTGCTGGAGGCCCTTTGTTGGCTTGCAGAGTGGGGTGGGCACCTGCACAGCGCAGCTCAGCCTTCCAGCGTGTAGCAGCGGGATCGGAGCCTGCACCTTGGATCCTCCCTCTTGCGGTGGCAGAGAGAAGCTGGGTGACGGCAGCTGTGCTCGGAGAGGACACCCAGCAGCGCTCCAGGGTTCGGCGGTGCGACTGCTGGCTGCGAGGCAGGAGCTCTGGGATCCTCTGCCTGACGTTACGGGGCCTTGGCTGTGTCTCCTCCAGGCTTTGGCCCAGCGCATCTCGCCTGGGGAAGCTGATTCAGCAGCTGCGATACGGAGCGCAGCATTTCCTAGGGATGACGGAATAGCTGGGGGAAGATGCAGCCGAAGGCACGTACCCACGGGACAAGGCTGGGGTGGTGTGTTTACAGACTGCCGAAGTGACGAGGAAGCCTGGAGCTCCTGCTTTGCTCCTGCTCCGTGCAGGGATGGACAAGCTATGGAGCTGTTACGCCTGCGTTTTCCTAGCCGGAGTCTGGGTTCACATCCCCTTTCCTGGGTGTTTATGGGCGGATGAGCCCTGGCAAAGCCTCTTGCCTGGGATGAGGTGGGAGAGTGCCTCCCTGGGGAGTGAGGGACTGCTGCTCCAGTGGCACCCGGAGCCACCCCACCGCTGGGCTCAGCCCCTCTCGTGCAGTCGCTGCGGGTAGGACTGTCGTGCTTCTCCCGGCGTGCCAGGCTTCCCCCTGGGCCTTGGTGTGTCTCCAGACGAGAGAAGCCCGGGGCAGGGAGCCAGCGATGGCTGGCAGCGGCCCTGCAGCCTGCTGTGCGCTCCTCTGCCGGCTCCCCCGGGGCCCTGGGGAGGGATGGAGCTCTTCCCCCGTGGGGTGTTGCGAAGGGGTCCCTGGGGTGCTCCCTGGTGCCCAGGGTAGCTTTATGGGAAGACAGAAGATGGGGGTTCCCCTGCTCCAGCAACCACCTTGCAGTGCGTGAGCAGGGACAGCCCCCTGCCATTGCCTCCAGCTCCA